GATTAACAGTTTGCAAATATTTTCTTCCATTCTGTAGGTTGTCTGTTGATTGTTTCCTTTTCTGTAAGAAACTTTTTAGTTTAATATAATCCCATTTGTCAATTTTTGGATTTTGTTGCCTATACATTTGAGGTCATATCCAATAAATCTTTGACCAGACTAATGTCCTGAAGCATTGTCTCTAGTAGTTTGAGGTCTTAATTTTAAATGTTTGATCCATTTTGAGTTATTTTTTTTACACGGTGAGAATTTCTTCTACAAAGAGATAACCAATTTTTCCAGCACAATTTATTGAAGAGATTGTCATTTCTCCAATGTAGGTTCTTGTTGCCTTTGTCAAAAATCAATTGGCTGAAAATACATGGACTTGTTTTGAGGCTCTCTATTGGCATCTAATTGTCTATATATCTGTTTTTATGCCAGTACCATGTGGTGTGGGTTACTATCACTTTGAGAATGTTTGGAAGTCAGGTATTGTAATGCCTCCAGTTTTATTCTTTCTACTCAGGAGTACTTTGCTACTCAGAATCCTTTAAGGTCCCATTCAGATTTTAGGGGTGTTTTCTTCTGTTTCTGTGAAGAATGTCACTGGATAATAATTGCATTCAATTCATGAGGATTATTGGTCTATAGTTTTTCTTTATTGTGTCCTTATCCAGTTTTGGTATCAGAGTAGTGTTAGACTCATAAAATGAGATGGGAAGTTGTCTTTCCCTTTTTAGAATTTGATTTAATTGAATTTGATTTAATATCATTTAAGAATTAATATTAGTTGCATATTATTTTCCTTAATACTTCAGTGCCTATCCTAAGGATGAAGATATACTCTTAAGTTACTACACTATAGTTTTCAAATTAAAAATTGATACAATATTTTCATATAATCTGCAACCATATTTCATTTTTTCTGTTATTATAATAATGTTTTTTATATTATTCCTTTATATAGTTTTCTTTCCTTTAGTACAGGATCAAGTCCAGATTCACATTTGATTTAATTGTTTCCTCTCTTCAGTCTTTTAAATCTGGGACAGTTCCTTAACCATTCTTCTTTTTTCATGATACTGGCCTTTTGATTTTTTTTTTTTTTTTTAGAATACAAGTCAATTTATCTCATGAATAATAGGTTGCTCCTCACTTTGGTTTTTCCTTGTGACCAAATTCAGTTTATTACATCAACAAGCATACCATGTTTATCCTTAATTAATTATTTTAGTCTGATCACATAATCAAGATAGTGTTGGGTTTGCCCTGCCGTGTTATTCCTGTATTTACTCTCGTAATTAATAAGCAGGCTGTTTGGAGATACTCTGAAACCATGCAAATAACATTGCAAGTTTTACCTTTTAGCTATTATTCTTGCCAGAGCCAATTTTTACTAATCTATAGCGAAATGATGATTTCCACATCTACCACTCACATCCACAAATGTCATTTCACGTTCTACTGTAAGGAAGAGGATCTCCCTTTTCCCTTGTTTATTGTACCTATGGACTCACAGATTTCTACTTTATTCAGCACATTATAATCCATTACTGTCATTATTTTGATTCTCAAATTTTCCCAAATTTAATCAGTAGATACTCACTTTTTTAAGATTATTCCTCTGAGTCAGGTGCCTGTGGCTCATACCTGTAATCCTGGCTACTTGGGAGGCTGAGGCCAGGAGGGTTGTGGTAGAAGCCAGCCCTGGCCAAAAAAAAAAAAGTTAGCAAGACACCATCTCAGCATGTACCAGCTGGGGCAGTGGTACATGCCTATCATCCCAGGAACAGTGTGAAACTTAAAATAGGAAGATCATGGTCCAGGCCAACCTAGACAAAAACTGAGACCCTATCTACAAAGTGGTAGAGCACCTGCCTAGCAAAGCCCCAAGTTCAAACTTCAGTACTGCCAAAAAATTTTTTTCCCACAATTCTTCAGTTCTTACTGATACATAGCATCATTTTTAAACTATTATACTAATATCTATGTATCATAATGCATATAACTATTTCCTTATTCTTGGAAGTTTTAATTCTAAGTTTTAAAAATGCTAAACTTGTTGGATGAACATTCTGGTAACTCAGTATTGACACAGAACCCAAAATTATTTACTTTGCATCATATATCTGTAAAAGTGAATTTATTAAATTTCTGCCTATTTATTCATTACAGTATATAAGAGTGCCCATGTTAGCCAGGCACCCTTGGCTCATGCCTGTAATCCTAGCTATTTAGGAGGCTGAAATCAGGAGGATTATCATTCAAGGCCAGCCCAGGCAAATAGTTCACAAGACCCCATCTCCAAAATAACTAGAGCAAAATGGACTGGAGGAATGACTCAAGAAGTAGAACACCTGCTTTGCAAGCATAAAACCCTCAGTTCAACCCATCCCACCAAAAAAAAAAAAAAAGTGCTGTTTTGTCATTCCCTTAGCTAAGGTACAATTATAATCAGTCTAGAGCCAAATTCTGGTTCCCAGACCAGAAACATCATGTAGGGAAGCCTGTTAAAAATGCAGAATCTCAGACCCCATCCCAAAAGTACTGAGTGAGAATCTGCATTTTAACATACTCCCAAGGTAATTCAAAGATACATTAAAACCTGAGAAGTAATATTCTAAGGTAATTTATATAGGAGTTACAAAATAAATTGGTCCTAAATCCAAGCAAGGTAAATTCAGGAAGCCATACTGGCATTTATTAATAAAAGGTGAAAGTGACAGAATGCTCATATGTTGGAATGCATGCATGCTTATGAAATAAGACCGTTTGTGTGGCAGGACAATGTAGATCAGCACATAGTATCAACATTTTTTCTCCATTATCATCATTTTCACTTTCTAGGTCCCAAACAGCCCATGTACCTGACCATTGTTTATTGAGTGGTCTAAGGAAAACTGGAATTAATCTCTTGCATACTCCCAAGCCCCCTCTCTCAGAAAATCTGTCTCAGTAGGGTCTGATAGCATGGCCTTGAACCAGCACTTTAACAAGCACACCAGGTGATTCTGATACTCTCAAGTTTGAGAACCACTGCACTTCCCAGAATACACGTGGAATGCATTCTTAAAGCAATCTTTTATTTACTTTAACAGAATATTTCCATTTTTATGAAGGCCTTCAGCCAGAATTCACTCTTGTTGCAGTCAGTCAGTTAGTTAAATTAGTAAGTCTAGGGATTCTAATTAGACTTTTTAGCCCTCTCTAGTTCTGACTAAGTTAGGATGAAAAAGTAATTTTGTTTGAACCACTTTTCACACTTTTATTCCTTTCTCAGTGCAATCCAAATTCTTTTTTTTTTAATTTTTGTTTTTTTATTATTCATATGTTCATACAATGCTTGGGTCATTTCTCCCCCCTGCCCCCCACCCCCTCCCTTACCACCCACTCCACCCCCTTCTTCTGCCCCCCACCCCCTCGATACCCAGCAGAAACTATTTTGCTCTTATCTTTAATTTTGTTGAAGAGAGAGTATAAGCAATAACAGGAAGGAACAAGGGTTTTTGCTAGTTGAGATAAGGATAGCTACACAGGGAATTGACTCACATTAATTGCCTGTGCATGTGTGTTATCTTCTATGTTAATTCTTCTTGATCTAATCTTTTCTCTAGTTCCTGGTCCCCTTTTCCTATTGGCCTCAGTTGCTTTTAAGGTATCTGCTTTAGTTTCTCTGCGTTGAGGGCAGCAAATGCTAGCTAATTTTTTAGGTGTCTTACCTATCCTCACCCCTCCCTTGTGTGCTCTCGCTTTTATCATGTGCTCAAAGTCCAATCCCATTGTTGTGTTTGCCCTTGATCTAATGTCCACATATGAGGGAGAACATACGATTTTTGGTCTTTTGGGCCAGGCTAACCTCACTCAGAATGATGTTCTCCAATTCCATCCATTTACCAGCAAATGATAACATTTCGTTCTTCTTCATGGCTGCATAAAATTCCATTGTGTATGGATACCACATTTTCTTAATCCATTCGTCAGTGGTGGGGCATCTTGGCTGTTTCCATAACTTGGCTATTGTGAATAGTGCTGCAGTAAACATGGATGTGCAGGTGCCTCTGGAGTAACCTGTGTCACGGTCTTTTGGGTATATCCCCAAGAGTGGTATTGCTGGATCAAATGGTAGATCGATGTCTAGCTTTTTAAGTAGCCTCCAAATTTTTTTCCAGAGTGGTTGTACTAGTCTACATTCCCACCAACAGTGTAAGAGGGTTCCTTTTTCCCCGCATCCTCGCCAACACCTGATGTTAGTGGTGTTGCTAATGATGGCTGTTCTAACAGAGGTGAGGTGGAATCTTAGCGTGGTTTTAATTTGCATTTCCTTTAGTACAATCCAAATTCTTTTCAAATGACAGTAAACAGTTTTTTGGTTTGCCAGGCAGGTGCTTTACCACTTGAACTACTCTGCCAGCCCAACAGCTGTTCTTTTCTGTCAGTCTATTTTGGTAAAAGAAAGTCATATTGCATGCAAGGCTGGGGGATGGCTCAAGTGGTAGAGTGCTTGCCTAGCAAGCATGAGGCCCTGAGTTCAAACACCAGTACTGCCAAAGGAAAAAAAAAGTCATATTTCAGAAAAAAAAATATTTCTGTCAAAAATTTGCAGCGTTGCTAGGTGCAGTGGCTCATGTCTATAATCCTAGCTACTTGGGAGGCAGAAATTGGGAGGATCACAGTTTGAGACCAGTCAGGGCAAAACTTAGCAAGACCCCCACCTCAACCAATAAGTTGGGTGGCATGTGGCTGTCATCCCAGTTACACAAAAAGCATGGATAGGCTTACCTGCCTGGGCATAAAAGCAAGAACCTATTTGAAAAATGACTAAAGGCAAAAAGGGCTGAGGGTGTGACTCAAGTAGTAGAACTCCTGCTCAGTAAGTGCAAGGTCCTGAGCTCAAACCCCAATATTGTCAAAAAAATTATAATGTTACCATTGACTGCTTTTACATAAATTATAGATAAAAAATATTACAAGAATTATATAAACTATTTCATCTTAAATATAAATAACTTTTTATATAGGAGGAACAAAGAAAAAAGGAAGCAGCACATATGAAAGGTACTTATTCTCAACAATTTGTTAGAAGTCTTAAAGTATAGCAATTCGCATCTTAAAGAATCAAGAGGCTATCCTAAATGTTATTTAAGTACTTTAAATGCCAAGAAAATTCAAGAGAAATGTTAATTTATTAGCATGTGAATCAGCATATAATTTTTAAAACTTGCAATGCCATATCTTAAAATGTGAAAATTTAATTTTTGTCTGCTATTTGAACCCAAAGGTGTCATAGTAAATGTCATATAGTAATGCTGGATAGCCAAAATGAATGGGGCAGGGCAGGGAGGGGGAACAAAAGCAAAAAACATGAGGTTCTTATAACCCTGTAGATACTGTATGTTATATTTTAGTATCTCAAAACATACTTTTAGAAATGCTGAATATAAAATAAAGTATTTTAAACTTTAAAAATTAATGCATAAAATATCAAAAAGTTAGCATGTAGGTATTTTAGGAATTATGTGATATTTTCTCTTTAATATCTAATATGCAGTCTAAATAATGTATATAATAAGCATGAGACTTAGAGTGTATAGATTGAAAGACATTTTGTATCTGATTTGTTGTTCATTGTTGTTGTCACTGTTTTACTGGGGTTTGAACTCAGGACCTTGTGCTTACCGTGTAGGTACTCTACCACTTAAGCCACACCTCCAGTCCTGTATCTGATCTGTGATGGGTCATTTACCTACTTTTCAGTTTCCTACTTTGTGAAGTGGTGCTAATAACTACCTTGCAGAATTATTGAGCAGATAAGTGAGCTATGAAAATATGTTAATGCTTTGCAAATTGGAAGACTCTACAGAAATGTATGTTACAATTACTGTGGACCAAATATTTTGTAATCTGCTCAAGGAAGTTTATATATTTTAAATAAGGCAATATTTAGCTATACTTACATAGCTATATTAAGAAACTGTCTGTTCTTTTAATTTTAAGGGACTTTACTGAACTGAGGTTTCTAGCCTACAATCTGTTTTCTGTCAAAGCAGGTTGATTTTATTTAGAATAGACTTTTCTGTGCTGGATTATCATGAAAGTGTTATAATTATGTATTTAACATTGTTCAGATGATGATAGCAACTCAGAATTTTCCCTTATGGCATTATCCTATCCATAATACTTCTAAAAGAGTCTGAATTTTAAAAAGAAACATTGTTCTTATAATTAAGATTTGACTCATCAATATGTAATATTCATAATAAATCTAATTTTTTGCAGCAATTAAAGATCACTCTAAAGATGAATTCCACCTTGCATCAAAAAATGTCATCTGTGACCCCTCAGAGACTAGCTCAGCAACAAACGGCAGCAGCATTACATTGAGCTTATCAACATTACCATCTGACTCTTATTATAGCCAAAGTATAGAAGCAGCTGATGAGTGGTTTTCTGATGACTCTCTAGCAAAAAAGAATTCTCCAAAGTCAATTCTCGGGGAACCTCTAATGGAAAAAGTATTTTCATACTTGTCAACCATTTCATTAGATGAATGTACTGAAAATGTAATGAATATGACACTTTATGATGATCAAAAAAATGACAGCGTTAAGGAAATATTTTCACGAAGAAACACAGAGGTTGAAATACAAAACCTTCAAAATAATACTGAATGATTTTTTCTTTTGAAATCTTGTATACACTGAAATATCAGGTAAAGTTAAAACTGAATTACCAACTTCTGAGTCTCTTAACATGCTAATATTGCTTATGGTCCTACTGCCCTGCTGAGCCTTACTTCTAGAAACAAAATTATGGGAAGAACTATGTATTAAGCTTGTCATATCATATCATAGATAACTCCTTGTATATCATCAAATAAATAAAGGGGAATGTATTTTCAACATACAGGAAAAATACTGTAAACATGAATATAGTTTTCAATAAAACATCCACAGTATTTCCTTATATTTTGGATATTTTCTATTTTATTTTATTTACTTATTTATTCAGCAGTACTTGGGGTTGAACTCAGGTCCTTATGCTTACTAGGCAAGCGCTCTATCACTAGTGCCTCACCTCTGGACCTTTCAATGTTATTTCAGTGTGAATAGGGTGAGTAAGTAAGGTGAATAGGGTGAGTACCTCTATTGACTTTTATAAATTTAAAATGCATAAATCACCTATCTTTCAAATCTTATCGTGTCTAGCTTTTAGTAAGCAATAAACATTTTCTTTTATAGGGGAGCCCAGAACACTGAAGAATCCAAAAAATAATTTTCTTTCTCCTTTCTTGTATTTATTTCTCAGAATGGTCTGCCAACCCTCACCCTATTATTATTAAACTGTTTCAGAAGCACCTGATTCAAGTCAGAGTTCCTGTCAAGTCTGAGAGACCGTTGGTCAAGTTTTTATTTATAGTTCTAGGGATTTTTGACACATACCATGTAATCTTTTCTGTTTTCCTTTTTCCTACACACTCTCTATGTGATTAATCCCATTTTTCTTTCTCAGGGAAAAAGATTAACAAAGCATAATATTACCTTTTGTGTTTAATGTCTCATACCAAGACCTGTTCATACTTTCCCAAGAAGATAAATTATACTTACTACAACAAATGCAAAGAATTTGTCTCAAACAGGACAATAACATTATCCAGGCCTATCATTTCTGACCCAGGAAATACCTGGGCACATGGGTTCTCCATCTAGTGTTAGCTATGTCTGCTCCACTTCTGTAAGAAACACTAAAAATAAAAATTTTCATCTGGCCTCCATCTCTTGGCGTCCTGAAACTATTGTCTTGTGCATATCCCAGAGAAGGAGGTTGTCACTAATTTTGGCAAAGTCCTAAGACTTACCTAGGAATTTGGAGCTGGAGATGAGAGATTCTAGCGTTGGTCTGATTGGTCCCTGGAATTGATGAACTATAAACAGGGGAGCCATGGGTTGCCATGTCTTACCATGTAGTTTAGGAAGAAAAAGCAGCAAATCCACAGTGAGAGAGCAATGAAGCATATGATTTCTGGCTAACAGTGCTCCCTCCTCTCATTCCAAACTTTCTTGAAGAATGGATATCATCCTTGCCCTTGGCTTAGTAAAGTATCTTTGTATTCTAATTATACACTCCTGCTTTTGCTTAAGCCAGCAAGATTTGATTTCAATTACTGGCCACCATGTTTGCTGGATTTAATTGTCATTTTTGGCTTTGTTAAGGTACCCTTGTAATTTTGTAATACTTTTTAGGCTGGCGATAGTGGCTTATGCCTATAATCCTAGCTATTTGGGAGACTGAGATCAAGAGGATCACAGTTTGAGGTCAGCCCAGGCAAATAGTTCACAAGACCCCATCTCCAAAATCACCAAAACAAAAAGGATTGGAGGTGTGGCTCAAGTGGTAGAGTACCTGCTTTGCAAGCACAAAGCCCTGAGTTCAGACTCCAGTCCCACCAAAATAAATAATTTCTCCTTTTTGCATAAACTAGAGTTTTGTTTCTGTTACTGCAATCAAAGCATCCTAAGCAATTCATATGTATACTACAAATGAGAAAGATATTTGTACATGTAAAGTCATTATTATACTATACTGATAAAATAAAGTCCTTAAAACCTAACACATTCAATTGTGTATTAAAACAATACTTGAAAATCCCAATGAACAGTACTTATACCAGCCTAAATTACAGCAGTTAAAAATGTTCTGATTTTCAAGGACAGTGAAAGGTCTGAGATTTCACCTGAAAATACAGGCTCCAAAGTTAGCCTCCATGTCTCTTGGGTTAGACACAAAGAATAGTTATTACTTATCGCAATAGCAATAGCCAAACTATCATCATTTTTACATTTCCTGAGCCCCAGTTCTCACAGAATGATGTGAAGAAGGCCAAATAATGTCTACACAACATTATAGGAAAGAATTTAGGAGACCAAACGTTTTATAATGGGCAATAGAGCGTGCATGTCCTGTTCACCAGAGGAAGCCACTACCACTATCTTCCAAGGTTGTTAAGTAAATATACATCCTTGAAAAGCTAATTTGGAACATGGAAAAATCTATATCTTACTTACAAACATGAAGAAATAAGGGACCTATAATTAACACTGCCTGAGAATATTAGTTGTAGTTCCTTTGATTACAAATACCAAAATAAATACCAAATGCCAAATGTCTATGGAAATTGCCTTTGAGAGTGTACCGCTAAACATCAGGTGGTAGGCCCAGGGTCTGTCTTTGTCAACAGTAGGGAAGGAAGGACTGGGCACAGGGAAGAGGAGTGAGAAAAATTGGAACCCAGTGGTCTCTCTGCAGTCTACTCTTGTATCTAAACATGACAACCTTCACAGAGTGATGGTTTTGCTTAAATTCTACCTTCCAGATATTGTATAAATTTCCATTTGGGCCACCTTTGACCCAAACCCATGCAGGAGAAAAGATTATGGTACACCGAATTCTAGTTTAAGGACTCACAGAGTGGCTCAAGTAAGAGAACGCCTGCCCAGTAAGTGTGAGGCCTTGAGTTCAAATCCCAGTACTGCCAAAAAAAATTATACTTGAACCAAATTAACACAGTACAAACTACCACAGCTTGCATGTCATCAATTTGGCATTTATCTTTTAACCATATTTAAAACTTCCAAAAATAAAACTAATAGCATAGTGATGTCAGAAAGAGCAGAATAGGAGTTGTCTCCCTCACAGGCCTTTCTAACAATACTTTTGCAGCCATTTATGGACAAAAGTGCTTTTGTGGAAGCTTTGGGACACAGGTAGGAGGTTGTGAAACTCTGTTACAGCCCAAGACCTAAGACAGCAATATTGCATCCAGGCGGAAGACTAGTCAACCATGTTCCAGGTTCCAGATCTGGAGATGGCTGTCCCCCCCCTCCCATAGGCAGCTATGCCCTTAGCCTTGGTCCTGCTCCAGAACCATGCCCCACCCGGGCCCCAGAAGCTTAGGAGGGGTCACACCTACTCATGCCTTCGGCGGTAGGCCTGCTGATGTTGGTCCTGGCAGTGTACATAGAAAGAGCTCTGAAACTTGACCCTACCCTCACTCAACAGTGGTCAGAGATCAGCTCTGTCAATGAATAGTGTCCCAAAGAGAGTCCTGCCTGCCTGAGTCCCCAGGGCAGTCTTGCCAGCCTTTATCCCACAGCAGGTCCTAAAAAGGCTTAGACTTGGCTCCAGACCCTTGAGCAGTAGTCAGCTAGCAGCAGAGGAACCAAGAGGGAGCGACACTTGTCTGAGTCCCTGGGGCAGGCTTACTGACCTCAGTTCTGGTTGTGGATCCTGAAATAGCCCTTGTGACTTGGTTCTATCCCCTCAGCCATGGAGCATGGCAGTACTGCCTGCCCAAGGACCCACTCAGTGACCCAGCAGGAGCCTTCCTGCAGACCTAGCAGCCACACCTGGGTGCACACCTAGTAAAAGGCCTACAGTCTATGGACTCTGAAGTTCACTTTCATCTCAGCACCAGCCCTATGGGTCAGAGAGCAGACAGAATCCATGCCCCTTAGAGTCTCTAGTAATAGATCTGTCAACAGCAGATCCCATTAAAGACACAGCAACAACTATGTGTCCCAGCTCCAGCTCCATTCATTGTGATCACAGAGGCAACATATCCCCAAAAACCTAACAGGAAAATCCTTAATCTGCTGAAATCAATTTGTAAAGACTAGACGTAGTGCTTCCTCCTTCAAATACACAAACACCAACACAAACCTACATGGACATGAAAAGTCAAGCAAACATAGTGCCACCAAAGGAAACCAATATTGCTTCAGCCACTGAATCCAAAGAAATGGAAGTCTATGAATTGCTTGGAAAGGAATTCAAAATAATCACCTTAAAGAAACTCGGGATACAAGAAAATGGCCGAAATTCATTAAGTGAAATTAGGAAAATGGTGCATGAACAAAATGAGAAGTTTAATAATAAAATACAATCCATGAAAAATTCTGGATTTTTTTTTTTTTTTTTTTTTTTTTTTTTGGTGAGACTGGGGTTTGAATCAGGGCTTCACACTTGCAAAGCAGGTGTTCACAAAGCAGGAATTCTACAGCTTGTGCCACACCTCCAGTCCATTTTGCTCTGATTATTTTGGAGATGGGGGTCTCCTGAAATAGTTGCCTGGACTGGCCTTGAACCAAGATCCTCCCAAACTCAGTTTCCCAAGTAGCTGGGATCACAGCTAGGTGCCACCTGGATTTTTTAAATTAAAAAAAAATTCAATAGTTTCAGTTGCAAACTCAACCATGTAGAAGAAATAATTAGCAAATTCAAAGACAAGTCATTCAAAATTAGTCAATCATCTAGGTATGTTGACACATATCTGTAATCCCAGCATTTGGGAGGCAGAGGCAAGAAAGTCATAAATTTGAGGGCAGCCTGAGCTACTGAGACCCTGTCTCAAAAAACCGAAAAAGGAAAAGAAAAAAAATTATCCAATTAAATGATCAAAAAGAAAAAAGAATGAAAAAAAAATCATAAGTAACTTACAAAAAATTACCAAGCATATAAATAAATGAATTATGAAAACAATGAATTATGAAATGCCAAGAAGAAGAGAGATAAAGACATGGAAGCTTATTTAAACAAATATTGTCTGTCAATAGACTCAGAAAGGCCTTTGATAAACTTCAGCATCCCTTCATAACTAAAAAAAAAAAGTCCTGAAGAAACTAGGAAAAGAAGAAACATACC